TCTTGCACTGTTCCTTTACCGTCTGAAAAGCTGTACTAAATGAAATTTCGTACTGTATACACACTGTATACAAGGTGACAATAACAGCATGTCTCAGTCTAAGCTACAAGCCCACAGAGGACAATCTAAGTTTCAACACTATAATCTAAGGATAAACCTTTTTTGCTAAAATTCATAATTCTGATTGTGATTTTACTTTGATCTTTCCTTGCACTAACAATTACAATGTAGATGTTTAACTTGAGTTTCAATGGTTTCTGATATTAAAGGCTTGCTTATCCAGTCTAATGTCGCTGGACTTTACTGTTGCTGTTTCTGGAAAAGTGCTTACTTTTACGACTCCCTCTTTCCTACTTTAAGTGTATTAATGCCTCCTAAAGGACTGGGGTGAGAAAGTCGGTGTCTTGTTCAATTTGTGAACCGAAGTGAGAGCTGCTGTGAATTAGAAAATTGTATTTTGTAAAACTGGTCTTCTATTGCAAATGCAATTAGTTGCCTATGCATAGTATAATCTGCTTCCTTAAGCACATAATTATCTAAATAAAACATTTGTATTATTTTTTTTAACTTGCTCGATGAAAATCTGAAAGAACAAAACAAAATGGGGATCTATTTTCTGTGAGATTAAAACAAATCTGTTTGTTTTCTATGTTCCAGTTTGCTCCTTGTGCATCAGAAAGTTTCTTTCCTACAAGCTGCTTTGCCCAGTTTGCAACTCAGTAAGTATGATTATGAATTATTTATATATATATGTAATCATGTCTGCATATTCATAGAAAATATAGCGGACAGGGCATTTTCAAAACATTGATAACATGTCCAAATATTTTCTCTTTTGGATTTGCAATAAAGGAACAATATTTATCTGATAATTCAATTGCAGCTGGAAGACTTTAAATATATTTTAAATTTTTGTATGTTTTTCCATTATCACACCCACAGTGGTACATTTCAAGCATTTCTTTCTGTTACGTTATGTTGTGAGGAGACTGCTGGGTTGACCATCAAGCAGTTGATGAGACCCTTTGAAAGTAGGTCACAAAAGGTGAATGCTAATGAAGCTGGGCTCTTCAGCGTGCTGTATGGAGGCATATTAATGATGGGAAAAAAGAAGTAAGAAAAAATGCACACGCACTGCAGTTAACTGCAGCCTTGAGAGGATTTTGATGCAGAGCTTGTTCAAAATATGTGAAGATTCACAACGCGTAGACAGGAGCCACCACATGGAGATGAAAGAAAGTTTTGCATTTCATTTGGAAGTCGAGGCTTCACAGTTTGCAGGTAAGGTGGAGCGGCTCAGACTTGAGTTGTTTGAGGTTCAGTACAGTTTCCCAAGTAGGTGATATTCAAAACATGTATCACAATTAAGAAAACGAAAGAAAAACTTGAACTATATCACTGAAGATGTGTGTAATGAATCTACATGATATGAGTTTGACTTTTTAGGGGGAATTGAAGGAATAAATGAAACTTTATTGTATTTTCTCTTCTATGAGTGAGATATGTAATTGACACCCAAAACTGTAGCATAATGCAGCACTTTTTGTCTTTCTTATAGCCATTGACCGAACAGGACCTTCGAAACAACCGCCTGTTGGATGACTTGGTCGTTAACTTTCATGATGCAAGGTGGGATAACTCTAACTCATGAGCTCTCTTATGAAAAAAGAAGCTTTTACTGCAACATATTTGCTGCACACAGCATCACCTGAAGGAGTTTTTCTTTTCCTGTTTTAATGTTGTTGTTTTTTTTTCTCTGAAACAGCTAAATTTGCATCAAGGAGCAAAACAGTTCATACTGTTTTAGTCAGGCATGGCGTAGTTTTTATTTCTGGAGTGATTTCTATTAGTATTATTTCATTCGGAGGGGTGATTTAGATGTGGATTAGCTCAGCGTGGGATACACTGAGCCTCTGCTTGGGAGGAGAAAACAATGGAGCAGTTAAGCTTATTCAACCAGCTTTAGTAAGTTTCATAGGCAGGAGTTTTGAAGATATTTGTTATACAAATTGTTGCTTTAAAATTGACCCCCCAAGATGTACTATTATGGCTAAGATTTTTGGAACTGATGTGTGTCGGGAGCGAGATCAGCACAAATTACAGCAGCGGGGCAGAAAATCTATCTAACTTCTCCATGAACACGAATCCGTTGCCTCAATATCCTTTCCACTTCTTTTTAATGCTCCTTAAGACCTGAGAGGAAAAATGATAACCATGGTTATTTCATATAATTACAGTTATTGACAGGATGTCTCAATGTGTCCCCAAGGTAACAGCATAGTAGGATAAAAAAAAGTTATTTGCTCTAGTAATCTGTTTTTTTGTAAATCCATTTGGGATTTATTCTCTTCAGCTAAATTAATTTTCCAATTCTCCATGTAAAGTGATTTTAAACATACATGTGTGTTCTTTAGCCTTAGGGTGATATTTTATTGCATCAGGGTAGGTGGCGGTGTCTGAGCTGGGCTATGGGAAGCTCAGACACCAGCTTAAAGTTGGATTTCTTCCCAAAGTGGCATGTAGACTGTGTAGATGGAAAAATGGCCTCAGATTAGCTTGTCTTGTTATAGTCGGCACTAGGGCTGCAACTAATGATTATTTTGCAGATTGATTAATCTGTCGATTATTTTTTTTTTTTGATTAATCGATAAGTAATCGGATAGCAAAAAGTTCCTTAACTTTTAAAAGTGAAACTAAAACTTTTCCACCTGAGTAGTTCTGGATAGATGATATTAAGGGGCAATAAAAGTTTTTTTTTATCTTAAAGGCAAAATGTTTACATTACTAAAGGCATGTTTTAGATTAATCGATTACTGAATTAGTGGACAGTTATTTCAATAATCGATTCATCATGATTGTTTCAGCCCTAGTTGGTACCTGCTTCATGGGTGCAACTTCCTACCAGCTTTCATGCTTACGGAAAACTAACCCAGAGGTTCTGCCGGGCCCCCTTTTCCAAACGGAGTGTTTCAATGGAGCTTCTCGGATTGGTTATACTTGGATCATATGAGGATTTCATCATGGTGCAATATTAGTATACATATAGGCTTTAAATAGAACAATAAAGTGGTTATTTGTGGTTATTTTATGTGATGAAGATAATGTTATCCACCTTCAACACTAAATCTACTGACATGACCTTTTTCTTTCTGGTTTTGTCTTTACAAAATGGAAGAGTCGTGTCATATAAAATTGTGTATTTTTCCAACTCCAAAATAAGCATTTCGTGATCCATAGGATTCTATTCTCTGGTGGTGCTGGAGTTGCAGGCAATGTTGTTTTGATTTTTGAGTAGAATAATGAGATCCTCAATCTGCACATGTAGTGTTAAACTAAAAACTCCACTGGATCCACTTTTGCTGTTTAGCTAGTGACTTCCTGTTAGAATGATCCACTTCACTCCAGATTGATGTGGAGTTGAAGCATCAAATGTAAAAAAAAAAAAAAAAAAAAAAAAAAAAAGGCCCGCTGTGGAATTTAGACAAGAGTGGCTGCGATAAATGGCAGCAGTAGAGGACAGTTTCAGTGGAATAGAGGATAAAGTTGTTTCCTCTAGTCTAAGAAAAAAGGTTTGACATTTAGATCTCAGGTCTTATGTTTTCTGTTAGGTCATAAATTCTTTAGTTGGAAATAAATTTCAATAGAGAGAAATAAGAAAATACTTCTCATTTCAACCTTGAGAAACTCACACAGAAGTTTCAATTAATAAAGATTGATTAAAATGAATGAAATAAGTTCTTGGCCCCGGCTGGAGACCTCAATGCTGTGAATCACTCGGATGAGTAACCTAGGGAAGTTTACTGGACTGAGGGGGAGGCTAGGCTAGGAGCCAAATGAAGGGGATCTTGAAAGATGATTGGCTTCGGAGGAGGTGGGGTCCTGACGTTGATTGGTTGAAGGTTGAACAAGGGACATAGCTGGTGTGTTATCCTTTCATCCGACTACCACTACATAGCAGGTGGTTCAGATGAAGCTGATAAGAGTCTTAAGCTTAATTTCAGCAGTTCAAAACACAGGTTGCTTTGATATAAAAAATAAATAAATAAAATCACAAATGGGCCCATTTCTGTTCATCAGTGGTTGTTGTTCACACTGTGTCTTTAATACTGTCTCCAGTTTTTCAGTTAAAAGAAAGGCAGAGGGAAGGCTTGAGTGCTGATATTGGTCAATAAGCTGCAATATTTGTCTCCTCTATATCACGTCGAATGATCAACACGTTGAAGGACCTCCCTGACGATAACGGAACCTCTGATCATCATCACGGTTATGAATAAGTGGGTTAGGCCGCTCACTGCTGCAGTGTTTAATTTCCTGTTATACAAGTCTGGGAGTCAGTGAGTCTTTTACTTTCATTCATCTGTAAGTCAGTCCGTCCGTCCTTGCTGGGTTGGGATAGAGCTTGTGCCAGTGGTCATTTGGTTGTAGGCCATAATGAAAACAATAGATGGGTTAAAAAAAAGTAAAGAAATTCGTGCTATGGATCAACAGTGAAGATACTAAGTATTTGAACACACTGCTATTCTACAAGTTCTCCCACTTAGAAATCATGGAGTTGTCTGAAATTGTCATCATAAGTGCATATCTACTGTGAGAGACATTATCTAAAAAATAAAAAGAATCCAGTAATCACATTATATGATTTTTTAAAACTATTTATTTGTATGATACAGCTGCAAATAAGTATTTGTAAACCTGTCTATCAGGTAGAATGCTGACACTCAAAGACCTGTTAGCTTGCCTTCAAAATATCCACCTCCACACATTTATCATCCTAAATTAGATAAACCTGTTTGAGGTCGTTGGCTGCATAAAGACACCTGTCCACCCCATACAATCAGTAAGAATCTAATCACTAATATGGCCAAGACCAAAGAGCTGTCTAAAGACACTAGAGATTAAATTGTACACCTCCAAAAGGCTGGAAAAGACTATGGGGAAATTGCCAAGCAGCTTGGTGAAAAAAAGGGTCCACTGTTGGAGTAATAATTAGAAAATGGAAGAAGCTAAACATGACTTTCAATCTCCCTCGGACTGGGACTCCAGGCATATTGTGGGTCTCATTGATCCTAAGAAAAGGTGAGAAATCAACCCACAACTACACAGGAGGAGCTGGTCAATAACCGGAAACGAGCTGGGACCATCGTTTCCAAGGTTACTGTTGGTAATACTCTAAAGGGCTGGTTATACTCCCTGCAGCAGTGTGTCACAGTGAGCTTGACACAGACATTTTTGATTTATGCTCAATATTGAAGCGTGACGCTGTGGGTCTAGGTACGGCCGAGACAGTGAGGAAGTGGGGGCAAGTTTGTCCGACAACAGAGGGACATGACGGCGTGATGATGACGGCGGTCAGGTACAAGCGGAGTGTCTGCGGAGGGGGTGGGGATTTTGTTTTTGTTCACTGCGACACCTACGCAGATAACCTAGTTTCGAAGTATAAATCAGCCTTACAGCGTCATGGTTTGAAATCATGCATGGCATGGAAGATTCCCCTGCTTTTACCAGCACACGTCAAAGCCTATCTTAAGTTGCCAATGACCATTTGGATAATCCAGAGGAGTCATGGGAGAAAGTCATGTGGTCAGATGAGACCAGAAAAACTTTTTGGTCATAATTCCACTAACTGTGTTTGGAGAAAGAGGAATGATGAGTACCATTTCAAGGACACCATCCCTACTGTGAAGCATGGGGGTGGTAGCATCATGCTTTGGGGGTGTTTTTCTTCACATGGGACAGGGCGACTGCACTGAATTAAAGAAGGGATGACCAGGGCCATGTACTGAGATTTTGGGAAGAAGCATATCAAGGTTCTGGCAGGGCCTGGCCAATCTCACGACATAAACTGAATAGAGAATCTAACAAACAAATAAATAATTAAAATATCATACATTGTGATTTCTGGATTTTCTTTTAGATTATGTCTCTTACAGTGGATATGCACATAAGATGACAATTTCTGACACCTCTCAGTGGGAGAACTTACAAAATACCAATGTGTTCAAATACTTATTTTGAAGAATGCAGTTTTTTTTATTTTTTTTATTTGTCTATTCATTGACTTTTTTGTCATCAATTTTCTTCCTAATATATGCAACATAGTCACAGGAACATTAAGCTGCTTGGAAGCGGACTTATAGCCTTTACCTTTAACATGTTTGTCCATAATTTCTTTTCTGATTTCCTGAAACGACTCTTTCCTTCTCTTCCTCTGGTCCATGTTGAGTGTAGTACACACCATGTCCCAAAACAGCACAGTGACCACCTGAACCCCAATATATATGCCTCGTGAATGACTACAAACTCATAGACACATGTGACGCCAAAAAGTAGTTACAACTTGATTTAAAATGTCCCTTTGGTTACATTATTTTCAGTCTTTTCTGATGTTCCATTATTTTTATCCAGCCCTGTTTCAGTAGTTCATTTTTAAAAATTATTCCGTTGGAGCAGGGTTAAAAAAACAATGTCTGTCTTTCAATTGTTCATTTTTGTAGATTTTTTAAATCCATTTTCACTTCTGTCAGCTTCAAGTTATTTCTGATTACCATTGTGGGTTTTTTTCATCAAACAAGGGGTATCAACAATTATCTACTTTTTTGCTGTTATTTTTTCCGTTTATTTTTATTTCACCACAAACGTTATTTGAAATGAACATCCTGTGTAATTGGTTGTGAGTAAAAATCTTGAGTATATGCAAAAGTTTCTTGTTAAACACTTTCATGTTAAAAATGGATTCACTCCTAAAAGTTTTTTTTTTTCCCTTTTCTTTACTTTCAATTTCAGCCCCAATTAATGACAGTTGTTTTATTTAATAGAAAGTTACAGGCCCTGCACATACTTCTGATCTTCATCTTGTTAGGATGAGTGTGTTCCTTTCTATCTCAGTAATAAATAATGGATGAGCTCATATTTTATCAGGAAATACAGGGGTTTAGGCTGATCTAAACATAGATTCCATTTTTAATCAGTTCATGTCAAACTAAGACCATTTTTTAACAGTAACTCAAAATAGATAGATTCTGCCATCTCTGCCACAGTCGGTTTAGAAGATAAAAAGTAAGTCCTTTTAAACTCCTCTTTTTTTAACTGTCACCATCAGATTTGTTGGTATATCTGTTAAAATGTCCAAAAAAATTTATCTAAAAAGACCATATAGATTATGATTTATTATAGATAAAATTAAAAAAGGAATATCGAAGGATAGATAGATTTAGGTAAAAAAATACTTTTATTGAACAGGGATTTAGTTTTCCTGCTACAAACTTTTACTGAAATCTCTAAAAAGATATTTATATTTTATGAAAGGCAGGATCAGTTATGACTATATATGTATATATTTATTTGTCTATTATTTAAAGGCGCGTTGTTCAAGTTTACATCGTTAAACTCCGGTTCTGTTCAATTGATTTTTTGGTTGCCATATTTTATATATATATGCCAGAATTTTGTACATGACCTTAAAATTGATCGACATAAAATAAGTTTTCCTTTATTTTTTTAAAGTTACATCTATACGCTCTATTATTTAAGGTTATTGATTTGGGTCGAATTCTCCAGGCGTGGGCACAGGTGTGACCCGGTGCACAATTTTTCTCCTTTGACTATTTTGAGTTTGTCGCCATTGAGGCATTAACAAAAGAACTTTGGCGACTGTTTCTGAAGATGAATAACCAAAGACCATTTACAAGTGCACCTCAAAACCCTTTCACTGACTTCACACAAGAATCAGAAAATAGAACTTCTGTATAATGCGAAGAAAAGGGTCAAACTGAAGCCTATTTGTCATCGCCCTAATCCACGCATGCCTAAAGTCGGTTCTTGAGGGCCGCTGTCCTGCACGATCCTGTCCTGTCCAGGTTGTAGAGGTTTTCCCCCCTTTTACACAGATGATTCTGGTGATTGCAGTTCAGCAAAAGCCTGTTGATCAGTTATCAATGAAAATCAGCTGTGCAGGAGCAGGGAAACCTTTAAAACCTGCACGCCTTTCAGGACCGACTTTGGGTATGCCTGATTAGTTTAAGAAAGTTGTTTGAGAAATACTTCAAAATATTTCAACATTTTTGGCTTAACTTTTTTTTTCTTTTTTTTTTTCAAATTTCAAATTAAACGAATACATGTAAATTATACTTTAGTTGCAAGATTTATACATCCTACAGAAAGCGGGGTGTTGGGAAAGTTTCAATTTTTGATTTCTTAGCTCTTCAAAAGAGTTAACCAGTTACTGCAGAACTTTGATATGATTGTTAGTACTCTTGGAAATAAAAGTGCTTTTTAAAAATTATCAAATATTTGGACTACACAGTATTTCCTGTAAAATAATATATGTATTCTTGTAGTCATGGGACCCTGTTGAGTGCTTAAAATAATGTTTTATTATTTTATTTTATTATAAAATAATGATAATCTTTTGTTATCTTAATATAGAAAAGTTTTTTGGTGCATACTTTAATCAGGAGTGCACTACTTTTGAATTACTTGAATCCTTTCTGATAATAAAAAGGGAGAACCTTTACACTCAGTGAGAAAGTATTGAATAGTCTTATATAAATGTGTAAATACACTGCTGTAATGCTATATCTTGTCTTTTTTTAGCACAATTTAATAACAGTGAATTCATCATTAGATAGATTCTAGATCCTTTGCAGGAAGGTATTAAAGGAATTTATAAGATTAACAACTCATCCTTCATTTGATTTTGGTCGCTTTTTTTTTTTTTTTTTTTTCGCCATAGACTGTACCTGTCTGAATGTATGAAGTGTTACGGATGAATGCTCCCAGGAAATGTGTCATGAGAGGAGCCTCTTTCCACATCACAGCAGTCTTGTGTGTATCGCTGGATACACGTGCATGAGCATGAACCTGCTCTAATGGGAACAGTAAGCACCAAAGAGCTTTAAATATGGAAAGCAGAACATCACACACCTCATTGAGTGCGTTTTATTGCCAAGCGATGGCCCCGCTGCAGTTTGTTTGCTTTCCACTTTTCCAAGACGGCGGCCAAAGTGTCTCCTTTTTTAGCTCAGCTGACAAGTCACAGAAAAAAAAGCCAAGCTCGTTCAGATTTCCTTGAAGTGCTCTCTGAAATGTCACAAGCAGTTACTAGTACAGAAAGTTCCTCTTAGATGTGCTCAGGATGTTTAATGAGGATTTTCAGATGGTTTCCCCTCATGAATTATGTACATATATCAAAAAATGGTGACTAAGTCCTCTCGATTGGTTTCTCTGTTTTCTCCCTGTTCTCTTAATTTACCGTTTTGTCAAAACCCTTCTTCTCTTCTCAAAGGGAATTCTTCAGTTCTTGCAGGTAAACTCAGCCGTACCTTAGTAGATCAACAAAGAATCAAAACTGTTTGCTCACATGCAAAGGAAGACCATCAGCCTCATGACCGATCATTAGTACTTGGATGACTGCATTTTGTTCCTAGAGGTCCGATTAATATTCAGTGATGCTGCAAGGAGGGAACGTTTGGACTAAAGCCCCTCCACCCCTGTTTCTCCTCAGAAAAATGGCTTTCTTTGCTTTTGTCACACACCAACTTTCCTCCCTATCCTGAATGAGAACATCCTCATCCCTGAAATATTGACCGCTGGCTGCTCACGGTCCTCCTGACATTTAACAGCGTAAACTTTACTCTGTTTGTGCAGGAGCTCGTCATTTTTTTTTGTGAACCAATTTTTGTCATAAAGTATTTTGGGGTTTTAGAGTCACTTGCAAATTATGCTTCGGAAGTCTGTTTCTCTGAAACTACCTCAACATTGTTGATGAATATTGGCGTGGGTCTGAGTTTGTGTTCCTCCCTTTCACCCGATAGGTGGTTGGAGTCCTGTTTGTGTGTCTGGTTGGGTTGTCGCAATACTAAAACTCGATACCGATGCTAGGAAAAGGGCAAAAAAAAATATCTAAAAGGAGAGATTTATCTTCAGCTTACTTAATTAGGGCAAAATTATTTAGTTTGAGCAGGTTTCTGGAGGATAAAAACAGAACAGAATTGATCATCAAAAGGTTTATTTATTGGGCAATTTTATTATTTATGCTTTTAGTTTTTATTCTCAGTTTGGTGCCCCTTTAGAGAAACATGACTTGCATGTCACTTCCCTCTTTTGTAAAACAGTATAACACCAACAGTATAAGTGTCAATATCATGTATGAATGTATATACTCTTAAATCAGTAAAAGCATTTTCCTAAAGGTATAGTGGAGGATGTTCTTTTTCCGGGTCGATCATCAAAATAAGCGCTCCTCCTAATTGCCAATCATTCTGGTGATATGTTTATGTAAGGCCGTCCTATGTGCTCGTCCCCATTTTCATTTACCAGTGGTGAGTCTGACATACTCTAGTGGAAAAATTGCAAATCTTCTTTTGGAAAGTAAGCTTGTATGACCGATGCAAACATAAACTTTCAAACACGTGCACCCTCTTGCACACATTTAATAGGCGTTCTCTCTAGGGAGCGGGTAAAGGGTTGTGCATGTGCATTTTTTTTATTAAAGTGGAAAGGGTGGGTCTTTTCAAAAATTCTTGAATGTCCTGTACTATATCTTTAAAATAAATGCTTTTTGGCGTGACCTACAGCTAAAGTAGGGCAACAGTTTGGGCAAATGGGAATGAGTCAATTGTGACTTGAATAAGTATCTGTAAATTATTCTTTTTTTTAATTATTTTTTTAAGGATAGATTAAATCATGTTATTTTTCACTTTCTACCTGTCCTCCATCTGAGACAAAGACGTCACAGTCCAAGAAAGTCAATCTGCCATTTTTCTAAGCTTCTCATGCAAAACTTTTTGTATTCATCCACAGAGTTTATATGATTAGTGAAAAGTTTGACTTTCTGGAATTTAATTGTAAAACGGTTAAAGAGAAAAAACTTTTTATAACGGAGAACCTGTCCAGATGATGTTTTTGGATTTTATTTTTAGTTATTTATGTATTGTACCTGTTTTATCAAGTTGCATCAGGGTATTTACATATTTATTCTTAAATAATACACAGATTTTAATTTGCTTTGCTTTTGTTCCTTTTTTTTAGGCAGCAGTTGTTAAAAGCAAACTTTGAATCTCCTCCTATATCACCAAAGACCCCAGCTTCAGCTGTCAAATGCAAAACCCCAATTCAGAAGTCCCAGAAGTCCAGTAGCTCCATTTTAAGTCACTTTTTCCAAAAGAAGCCCAGGACACCTGGTAAAGAAGCCCATCAGGATGTTAAGCTGGAAGAAGTACAGGAAACACCAAGCCGCAGCGTAAAGGGCTCTGACCTACATTCTGGAACAGCTCAAATGTCAGTGGTTATAAAGGAAGAGCCGGTGGATGCAGAGGACCCATCTATCAAGGTTCTGATGTCTGTGAACAAGCAGGATACAGATTTTCACACCGGCTCCGAGAAGGCGCATTCCTCATCACCTTCAATAGATGTAAAGCCCATACTCAAAGGTGAAGCCATTTTAACTTTACATTACCAGGAACACATTGCCCTGTTTCAGCTGCTTTTTTGCTCCCTTTCAGCTCAGTTTTTCTACCTTTTAAGCCACTGCATGAAAATATGGAAAAGTCATGTGAAAGCACATTTAGAGCTGCAGATATGGGAACACTTAATGATACCACCCACAGCTTCTAACATGGTAGAAATGGTGCAAATTTCTAAACCTCCATGAAATAAGATGATTACGCTTATTTATAAGTTTTTTGAGATTCCGCAGTGAACCTTTTCCTGACCTAAAAGTTTGTGATTTCCTGTAAAGTCTGACCTGAGTATTATTTTTCTGTATTCGATCCACAATAACAAAAACAAAAACGAAAACTTTCAATATTTCACTTCCTGAGCACTGAAAATTGTCAATTAGAAGGAGAGAACATTTTCCACAATCTTACTTGTTTCCACTGATGGCATAAAAGATCATTAAAAATCATCCAAATGGCCAATTGCAGTAATAGAAGTTAGTGTTTAAATCCATGGCCTAAGAAGTGTAAAAATACCAAATATTGCATAGGTTTAAACTGTAATTATTCAGTGTTGTGCATCTTAAAAATAGATAGTGAGGTGTAAACACGAGCTTTCCTTTAACAAATGGTGTTCCCAATCGGACCTGAATAAGTTGTATCGTTCGAGGAGAGCCACTGATGGACCAACCACACAGCTGCCGCGGCAAATAATTAAAAAGCAAATATCTCCAGTGCTTTTTCAAGGGACTGTTTCCTGGGTTCGGTGAGCTTTGGGTTCTCAGGCCACCAAAAAGTATTCTACAAAATAGTGTTTTTTTTTTAAAGCTCTCAATCTACCAAGGTACAATTTGAACTTCTGAGAAAATATGTTGTCCCACCTTGGGTATGAAATACCCAAACATTAAACTCTCGGTTACTTAGATTGTTTTAGCTTAACCTCATACTGGGACAATTTGATTCCTGTAGCTCTTAAAGATAGACGAATTCTTTCAGATGTCTTTTTATCCCCCTTTTCCTTGAGTAAAAGAGCTTATACGTTTAATTTAAGGGATTCTAAGTTAGAATGGTTTGACTGTCAAGTAGAATGCTGTAACTTATTATACTAATAATTATATTATTATAATAACCTGTAGTGTATCTATTTGTTTAAAGGGAAGCTCTATGTTTACACCTGAAAGCTTTATCTCTCCGGTTCTTTTGTCCTGAAAATAACATCACTCTGGACAAACTCTTTAAATAACACTTCATAACATATATGTATTAAATAACCATAAGACATGACCACAGATTTTGATAGAAATTCGAAATCTCGGATCAGAGAAGTTGCTTAGGGTTACAGAAGGCAGCTGCTTACCAACCGGGCTCACTTCTTGTGAAGCGCCCTCGACAAAGAAGCATTTTATACAGCTTCAGCCCGCCACATCATCACATCATTACATCATACACGTTCGCAGATGAGGAGACATCCATGGCTCCAGCCGTATCACAATATTACACTTTGTTCTTAGCTGAAGGACACCTTTCCCAAATCTTTGCCACATAGAGAATGAAGATAACTGTATATCCTGACAGAGCAACTGTCCTAATTAGATAAACTATTGGGGAAAACATTAGTTCCAATACGCAACAGGCAGGTAATATTAGGGTGTAATAAACTCACATCATTAATGATAATTATTCTAACTATATAAATAATTTTTAAAATGCTTTGTTTCCTGGGTGCTGATTATATGTATTATAAAAAGTAATGTATTTTCTTAAGGTGTTAGTATGTTTTTTGTCAGTAATAAATGTATTGTCGTTAAAGAGCTGTTTTGATCTTTACTAGGTGTCATTAGGTGTTGGTGTTTTTGTTGTTTGAACTTTTTACCCTATTAGAATCATTAGACGGAGCTCTATGGTGACTATAATGAGCGATTTCACATGTTAACTTATGTTGCCTGACAACATAAGTTAAAATTCATTATGTAGGTTTTCCACTGCCAAATTCAATGTAAAAGTATAGAAATAATCAATTAGTGTGAATTGTTGATTAAGAAGCTAACAAAGCCTTTATCCCAACCTTTATTTATTTTTTGTTATTATCTTGTTTTTCTAGTTGAGTGTCCTGTGTGCTCTGTAAGCGTTCCGCAGCACTTTATCAACAAGCATCTGGACACATGTCTTTCCAGTGGGGAAAAGAAGGAAAGCCTGAGGAGGTAAATGACTTAGGATATGATTTTTTATTTTACAATTAAGTGCATTCTATAAAATCACTGAAAGTAAAATGATTGACAGCAGGTTGTTTTTTGGGGGGGATTAGAAGTGAGTGTTTGTTTTCTGATTGTATTTTTTTTTTTCTTTTACATAGAAATTTTTTCTATCAAGCTCCTTTTATTTAAAACAGAAAAGCTATAGTTATTAATAATGCTGCTAAAATAGTTAAACTCCGACTATTGCATTTGTAATAGTGTAATTATGTGTTGGTTTTCTCTTAAAGTCTTTTTTTGAACCTTTACAGTGGAGAAAGGACTAAAATGAAGGACTAACTTAGTTAAAAAACAAAATAAAAGCAGGAAAGGACACAATTTGTTAAAAACTAGCTAATTTACAAGGTTTTTGTTTTTTTTTGTTTTTCCATAACATTTCTTTGAGTAGTTCTTTGTGCCTTTATTAGTTAATTGATTTTTAAAAAGCCTGTTTTAACATTAGCAGACCTTTTTTGTTTTTTTCTTTAACATGAAATAATCAAGTACTTTATAATTCTACATTTATAACTAAGGTTGAAAACATACTGTGTGCTTTTATGAGCTGCAGCATGATGTTTTTAACATCCTATCATTGGCTCTAAGGTAAAACTACAATAAATGCACAGTAAAATGAAGTGTTTGCCTCAGCCACATGGTGCTCCTTTGCGATGCACGTTTTTATTTAGTTAATCTTATGTTTATTAGTATCACCTTTCTGGCTTTGGCAACAAATAACTTCAAACTTTTATTCCTGATCGGTGTAAATTTTGTTGATTTTTAAAAATATTTTGTGTTGATATAGTTAAAGTGTCTTCGTCTTAGCTTTGAATTATATTTACATTCTTCAGCTCCTGATCCAGAGAAGCTTTGAACGTCATAGTCCTCATCTTGACCGCAGACTACGTCAATATGCAGTCTTTGACATCATTAAAATAATTGATCTTTTTTGAACTGTCCTTGGAACAGTTTTCATTGTTGATTTGCAAACCATTAATGTGCTTCAGTTAGTGCAGAAGTTCAACCCCTTTTTAGACCTTCCTTTTTATTATGATTAATTGCAGGTAGTTTATCTATATACATTCGTTGTGACATTCTCACATGTGTGTTGTCATTGATTAACCTTGCACTTCAATTATGACTTTAAGATCAATTATGATCTTGAGCATCCCAGGAATAGCTGAATGATGCTTGTTGTTGTGCATAAACTGCTAATTTGTCTCCTTCAGCTCTCAGGGCACGATTGTGCGTCCCATGGCCAAGGTAGTGTACAATCTCCTTTCAATGCAAGAGCTGAAGAGGAGGTTGAAGGACTGCCACCTGTCAATGCAGGGGTCTCGGGACCAACTGATCAAAAGACACCAAGAGTTTGTCCACTTATACAACTCACAGTGTGACTCTCTGAATCCTAAAACAGGTGAGACATGCTGGTCTGTGTAAAAACAGCTGATACTCAAAGTTTAATTGTAAATATGAAAATACGCATTCAGCCATTTTTCCTACTTTTTGACGCTAAATATGAATGTTGTTTTCTGTCCCTGTTATGTCCTGTTGATGTCATGGGGGGGGGAAACAAACAATGGCCCTCATGCAATAACATTTTCGTATTATTGTCATAAATTTCTCTTTCAAGACAAAGAAAGCACTGAATCCCTTCTTCTTCTAGACTTTGGAGCCTTTTTTTATGCATACTAGTACGTTTTAAGAGCAGAATTGTTCGTAAAAACAATGGCACTAATCTGATGGAATAGTTATCAATTATAAAGTCATTATTGATTTGGAAGATTAATAGATTAATTTGTACTCAAGCTTTACCCCCCTGGTTAGTGTTTTGAATTCTTGCTTTAAATCCTCTGTAACAATATTTCTTTTATGAAGCCTTCTATGTTGCACACTGCACCATTTCCTCTTGTAGCACAACAACCACTCAGCATAATCCTGCCACCTCCATCCCTCACAGCCAAGTTGCATTCCTGCCTATTTCACTATAACACTTGCTTTACTCTGAAAGATTACAATTCAGGTTCTGTCAATATCTTTGAAAGGTGTTATATTTTTGCTTTGGGATTGATCTACACATTTTGCATTTAAAAAAAAATGTACTCTTAGACGCAGAAACGTTCCACCTAATAAACAGGATGTCCATTTTGTGTATATTTGCATCTAATTGTTTAAACAGATAAATCTGGTCCTGTCAGGCTTCCCTTTTAGATTATTTATTTGATAGCACTTTATCAAAAACATTGGAAGGCTCTTTAGAAATATCGTTTGAATACAGGAGAGAATATTTCCTCAACAGGGACATTGTCTTTTTTTAATTGTTTTTTAATTTGTTTTGTTTAATCTTTTTCATGTCCCTCTCATGGGCACCATTTTTTTTTTAAAGTTTTCTCTTCAATAACAATGCCTTGGTGAAGAAAAAGGTTCAATGTGACCTGGTTTTACTTTAGAGTTGTGACTTTAGATGCTGTAACAGGGAAGGTTTTGCTTTTTTTGTCCAGTAAAACTGGTCTTAAATTCAGGAGGGCAACCTAGAGCTGGTCACTCTACATGGATACATCCTGTAAAAGCAGGGCAATTGGAATCAGAGCAGAGGAAGGAAGGAACAAAAGATGAGTGCAGTTAAAAAAGAATCAGCGATGGAAGAATTCAATATTACAGTTAATTTATTAGACCTGCCACTTGTTTGATTGAATTCTTTCTGTACCAGTTCCTCTTTAAAGATAGAAATGATTCAATGTGAAAGGATTAGACATTGTAAATGTTAGTTTTTAGGAACTTAAAAGCAAAGATCCAATATGTAGCATTTTTTATTAATTAGATGCATATATTATGACCTTATTCTGAACAATATGTTCTCACTAAAATGATGAGGTTTGTTCAAATGTAATTATAATTATTTAGAGATGCAGCAAACAACATTCACTAAACTTTAGCTTCTAACAGGAACAAACTTTAGGGTAACTAGTCTTTATTTGGGGTATATGTTATCAATTCTGCTGATAGTAGGACATAAGGGTGTTACTTTGGACAGCAGGACATGGATGGCATCTTGTCTTTCTTTCCTGTTTGGATTGTAATTTCCTCAGGGCATTGATCGTTCAGAGGGAATGCTCTAATCTGGAACCTCACCTCCCTACCAGTAAGGTTTAAAAAGGATTTATACAGTCTGTGCATTAGGGTTGTCATGATATTAACAATTCAAACTATAGCATTTAATACCATGGGGATAAAAAAAAAAAAAAAATTGCAGACATATTTTTTTTATAGTATGTGGGGTTGAGCGATATGTCTCAAAAATCCAATCTCCTTTTCTTTTTTTCATAAAATTTAATTTATTTTTCTTTTTGATATATACTGCATTCAAACACAAGTTTTTAATCCAATCATCCTCTCTGGGAGGTGACTATAATTTAAAGAGCAATGAAAGTCAAGCTGTGAAAAATGCTATAAAACTGCACAACAACAAAAATATAACAAATTAAATGTTTGAAGTGAATGGTATTACACAGAGTTAATTTATCAGCTAAAACACATCCAAAAACAATTGGTAAAGAACTGATGTTCCTTTAAACAATGGAAGCCTAGACAAAAAAAAAAAAAAAAATGTTTTATTGCACAGCACTTTTTGTTTTAAAAGCTTTCCTTTTTCAATCTCAACATCAAACATGCTTTCTTAAAAGAATCACACATTCAGGTTAGATAAGTGTACAAATTAAATAATATTGGAACGGAAGTTTATTCTGGATGTTTTAATCAAAGCCTTCAGGAATGGCGCATAGCATGTATCTGCTGCCGGATTTTATTAGAAGAAGAAATAGTTTTAGTTTTTAAATAAAATTTTCACAATAGAAAAAAACTTCAAAGAAAATAAAATAGACATTTGGATTTTTTTTTCTTTTGTCTTCTGTTTTCTCTGGTGTAATGGAAAAAGAAAAGAAAAGAAAAACAGGTTATTGGCTATATTGGTCATGCATCTAGCTATTCAGTAATTCACTGTGAGAACACAAAGCAAAGTTAATTTAAATATCAAACACCCTGCATTGTTAGATCTATATGATCCAACAGCCATGGTAAGAACATAGCACAAACAATACTAAAATAATAAGAATATATATTATAATACTTGCAAGCATGCATAAGAGATAAAAACTAAATTAATTTTGTTATTTTGATATTTTCTTGTTTTTGAACCTAATCCAGTTGAACTGGAAATAAATTATATATAAATCATTAAACACATGAATAGAGAAAAAAATATTGCTATTGTGAAGACCCAGGGATTAAACATGGGAACTTAAAATATTTCCGACATACTAGCTTTAATTTTATTTCGCTTTTACTTTGAAAGGCTTTGAATAAACTTCCATTTCCGACAGCGCAGGACACCTCACAGTGCAGGTCTGCCGCTAGACTCTCTTGCTTCGTTTTGCACTGTAACTTTGTACAACACCTTTGAATTTTACATAACTGTTGACTCAAAGATTTCTTTCTATGCTCCTTACAGTTAAGGAGATTGCAAGAGAGGTGGAGGCCAATGAGAAGATGAGAAATCAGATGGAGAGGAAAACTAGACCTGTATGTATTCATTGATATAAAGAGACATTTAAATATGGATAGTTGCAGTTTATTTATGAAATCTTCAGTACTGCTTTTAGCTGATAAATAAAAGGAGTGTTTTTACATATGAAGACAGATGGCTTGTTTGTGGCAAAGGAAAAAATGTACAGGACTGCCCTAAACATATTTTTTTTCCTTTAAAAAAAATAAGTTGAAATTCAAAGCTACTTAAACTATTTTGAAAGTCATGTTCTTTCTCTAGTTATGGTTTATGTAATTATAAATGTTCATTTTCACTTTAATCTCTTGCAGGTAATGGTTTTCTCAAAGAACCAATCTGAGAAAGAGATTGACGAAATGCATTCAACTTATAGTAAGTGGTTTAATTTTTCCCCCCCACTTCTTTTATAAAGGGTTTACACCTAATATGGTGCATTTTAAACAGAGCATTTTAAATCCTGCTACACCTGCTGATACAAGCTTTTAAAGTCATTTCCCATTACCTTTGAGATTAGCCTCCACTTCTGTCTCACAGGAGTGTGTGAGCAAGAAATTTGGATGGTATTACGCAAACGTACAGCCTGTTCTGTGCCACAGTTCCTGATAAGTATGATTAGTGGTTATTCAATTGGAAAGATCTACAGACATAGGTTGGCAACAATTTTGGCTCCATTGGTTATAAAACACTCCACAACGTATGCAACAGACTTTATTTCCAAAGTCCGGCATTTGAGACTTGCTCCATGTGAAACCATTATTTCCTTTGAAGTAACCTCTATCTTCACCTGCATTCCCATATCAAAGGCAGTAAACACATTCAAGACACTACTAGAAAATGATGAAACTCTCATATACAGGGATAACTTTTACCGAGAGAAACGTGGGTGCACCATGAGCTCCTCAGTTTCAGCCAGTTGCCAATATCTATATGGAAGAACTCAGGACATAGAAGGGATCACAACCAACTCTGGTTCAGATATGTGGATGACACCTGGGTCAAAATCCAAACCCAGGAAGTTGAGGCATTCACCAATCACATCAACTTAGTGGACAGAAACATCAAGTTCACTAGGTTCACTAGGATACAGAGGACAGATGGTTTGAAAGAGGGGTCATGGAAGCCATCTTTGTAAAAAGACAAAAGCCATCACTGAACAGTTTTAGCTTCCAAGCATTAGCAATTCAGTCATTCAACTCATCTCAAAGAAATCACATAAGCACTCCAGTTTTTATTCAAACGACCAATCACAGAGCCAATGCACAACAAAAGGCTCCAACAATACAGAAGAATAAGGGGTGCTCCTTAAATAGATCAGTGCTCCTGCTAGAGATTGATCTGGAGTGAGCCAACAGCATTGACAGAGACTCTTGGATCGGTGTCTAAACGTCTTCAAAAACCGAGCAAAAGTCTTGGTGCCTTCCAATTAAACCAGTTTGTGTTTGATCAACATACAATTATTTATTATTTGACATTTTTGCCACAAAACATCTACGCAGGAGCCTGCTTTTAATGCAGTTATTTGATCCATCACTCCAAATGTTCTGTTTTGCAACAAATAATCAAACTTTTTTTTGTCCAGTTAATCAGCAGATTAATAGATTATTGAAAAAATTGTTACTTGTGGGCCTATAAAAAACTAAACTTAATAAAACTTTTAAAGCTGCTTTATATTTGCAGTTTAGCAGCTCAAGTTAATTTCCAAATAGGTTGAAATCCAGTTTCTGACTCTTCATTCTGGCTTTCCTTTTTGTATTTTTGGATTATTCTGTTTCTGATATTTATGCAAACTGTCTAGATTCAAGATTGATCTCCATCCTGTAAATTATATTTGCTACACATTAGTTGAAATTACCTTTGAATAAGGTAAGGGATCCCATTTGGTACATCGGCTAAGGTTGTTGCCTGCAGATTTGAGGTTTTTTAGCAGAGCCAAAGAGATATAGGTATTTGATTGTATTTTGATTCTGGTTCTTCCGCAATTTCCTAAAACACAAGCTTTTTTTAAGCATTAGTGCTTGTATTTTGTGCTGTTCCAGTCAGAATGTATGTGGGAAAAAAACTACCTTGGTCATTGTAGAGTCAGAGCATCACAGAAACAGCAGGGGGCCTTTTTATGTTAAACAAAGTGCTGCCTAACAATATAGGAAAATATTCCTGTTCCTTTGAATAGTTCCATTTTCACAATATAAAATCATTGCACGTCTCACCATTGTTGCGCAACCATATCTAGACTTTTAATCTGTGCGGGAAGCTTCTGTTTGTAGAGATACCCTTTATCTGTGCAATACAAAACTCATTGCAAATGAATAGATATTATTTGACACCTAGAGGGTGATGAAATGGAAAGTTTGTTTCACCATTTTTGATGACATGTCTAGATAACTGGTTCAAACTGAATTTAATGACTGATGTTTTGTATCTAAAAGATAAACAAACAAAAGAAACCTCAGTAACAAAGGATGTTTTCACAATCACAATTCAAGTCATGCTGACATAGTTGGATTGGAAAAAATATATTTTTAAAGAACAACTTTATGAAGCTAACTTTAAAAGTGTGTGAGGAATGGATGTGACTCACAGGAGGTGGATACTATTAATAGCTGGTCTGCTGTGATAACCTCTTGATTTATCAGAGGAGGATGTGGATGAGTCACTCTGCTGGCATGGGGAACAGTGAGTGAGCAAATAAGAATGAGAAAGCAGCATACACACATGCAAACACAGAACTCTTGAGGACTTTTTAGGTTTTTCTTGTCTGACCTGTTTATTTTGAGCATGACTTATAAAAAAAAGTCTTATGTCCTGTTGAGATCGCTTGTTTTATTAATGGACGCATGTTCTCCTTGTGCATACGTGGGTTTTCTCCAGGTACTCCAGCTTCCTCCCACTTTCCAAAAACATGACTGTTAGGTTAATTGGCTGCTCTAAATTCTCCTTAGCTATATGTGCATGAATGGTTGTTTATCCATTTTGTCTCTGTGTTGCCCTGCGATAAGACTGGCGATCTGTCCAGGGTGTACCCTGCCTCTTGCCCATTGATAGCTGGAGATAGGCACTAGCACCCCTCAGGACCCCAGCAGGGATAAACATGACAAAAAATGGATGGATGGATAATACAAAATGCAATTTTTAAATGAAGATTGTAATTATTAAAGGATTTTAAAAAACTACAATGACATCTTGCTAAAAAGTTATAACCCTGTTAGCCAAATAACTGGTTGAGCGACCCTTGGCGCAAACCAATACAAATAAGCATTTTGCCAAAATTTAAAATGACACCAACACCACTGTGGATGTTGTTGTCATTTAGCCACATAGGGGCTGTCATGCATGAACAATCTTTTTGAGGTTAAGCCTCATCTCAATATGGTTCAGGTCAGGACATTGCATGGACCAGCTAAAGTCTTCATTTTATATTTTCTCAGCAATTTAGAAGCAAAGATTTACCACTGTTCTAGCTTTTCCCCATTTGTGGATAATGACTCTGTCATTCCCTGAACTCTCAAAGCTTTTGAAATGGCTCTGTAATCTGTTCCAGACTGATAGATCTCAATTACTTTCTTTTTCATTTGCACCTGAGTTGATTTGGATCTGGGCATGGCATCTAGCTTTTAATTATTTCTTGGTTTGCTTAACTTTGTCAGGCAAGCCTCTTTTTAAAGTGATTTTTTTAAATTAAAAAACAAGTGATAAACCAAAGTTAAGTATGTTTAATGGCAGGGGGCATGGAGTCTTGGAAACAACCTTAGCCCCTTTAACAGACACCGCACCACAGGATTTAACATCACATGGCATTATGGCCAGTGACGACATCCATTGGTGAGAGGTATATGTTAGCCATTTCCATCAAAATCGTTAAATCATATTTGTCATCAAATTTGATGGAGCAGGAAATGAGGCAAGGAAAATTTGTTATGGTTTGATAATGGTCCAAAGTTTAATGGCTTGATGACTGCGTCAGAGTATCTCCACAGCACCAGCTCTTGGCAGGTGTGCCCAATCTACAGAGGCCAGACTGCCTCTTGTAATTCATTCTCTATAGTACAGCAGTAGCTACAGTAGTTTAAATTGAAAAGTTAAATCTGGTTCTAAAAGAAAGGTGTCGGATTACACCAAGCATCACAGTTGGCTTTTTATTTGACTTCATAGCTACAAATCAACCAGGATGTCCATACTGACCCCTGTTTACCTCTGGAAGAACTAAAAATGTGAAAATGAACATCAGAATAGCAACATGGAGCGATTGAAGAAGATGGCCTGGTCTGATAAGTCACATTTTACAGCATATGTAGGTCTTTGTGTACAGTGTATAAAGTGTTTCCTTTAAGAACACTTTGGACCAGGATGCACTTTGGGAAGAAGGCAAGCCAGCTGAGGAACTAAGATGCCCTTGGTGAAACATTAAGTCCCGTCATCAATTTAAATTCAACTTCTGATATGTAGCACTGACGTAAGGGTTGAATAGAATAGAACTTTATTTTTTTGAAGGTAACTGTAGTTTATGGTAACTATAGTTCCTGATTGCTGTGGACTCTTTCAACAGCATAATTCACCCTTCCTTGAAGTAAAACTAGCAATTGTTTGGAGAGCACAGATGTGAGATTTTAGTTCTCCAAATTCCACAGATTTCAAGCTTTTTTAAGCATATTTGGGATGTACTAGGCAAACAGAACCAGTCCGTGGCTTTATCCACCTCGCAACTTATGGGACTTAAAGGATCTACTGCTAACATCTTGGAGTCTGTACCTTGAAAGGTCAGGGACTGTTTTGCGATAACAAAAACAATTTGGGCAAGTCTTCATAATCCTTTGACTGATCAATATTTATATAAAAATTGTAACATTAAATCTGCACTACGTTTCCCAAATAAGTTATAGCTCTTGCAGTAATTGTACTTTGAAGGTGATGGATTTCTAATGGGCATGTTTCCCTGTATATCACAGCCAGCAGCCGTCATTAGATCAACTTTCCACGACTATTGCCAGCTAGAGAGGCGGTTAACAGCTGCTGTTTTTTGGCTTTCCTGTCACATCAGAGGTCTGTCTTGATGAAAGTTTTAAGAGGCTACACTGGAAGGTCATACAGAGAATGAACTTTGAATCATGAGCAATATGACTATGACAGGCCAGATAATTTGTTTCTGTCTGTGGAAATGCTGCTTTATCTCGTCTTACTTCGTAATTTCCAAAAAGAAAAGTAACAATTAAGGCTGTTTTAATTGCATTAAGCATTAGTTATTTTGTTACCGCCGCCAAGAAGGTTGGTTTCAGTCAAGTTTGTGTGTGTGATTGTTTGTTTATCCCTCTGTGTACAGTGTAATTTGAAAAATTCTGAACAGATTTGAAGGATTTTTTTTTAACCAAAGATTCATCTCAGTCCAAGTAACAATCCATGAAATTTTAGTGATGTTCCACATCATAATCTGGATGCAAGAATTTGTTAAGGGATTCTTTAACATTTTTCGGTCGAACAAGCAGTTCCCCCCTAAACCAGAATGTGGCAGCACTGACTATTGACAGCTTTAGCATTGGATTCAAAGTCTAGAAGTATTATGCTGATGACAAAAGCACAGGAAAGGAGGGCCATACCTCACTCACTCTTAAACTGCTGATCAAACAAGAACGCAGAATGAATGAAGGTGAGAGCAGAACAAACACCAGAGGCTTCAGACAATCGCTTATTTATAAACTTATGAAAGGATTTAAGGGAAATGTTACCAAAGATGCATCTCATGCCAAGGAACAATTAACTAAAATCTAATTATGATCCAGATCATGTGTGAGTTTTAGCTATAGGTATAAATCACAATATGGTGCAAAATTTGCTGCTTGGCAGAGGTCTGCTCTCAGAGTGCTTTTCAAGTTTAAACTTCAATAAATCATAAGGGGATCCCTTAAACAAATTAAATGGCTCATTTATTGGTTAAAAAAATACACACAAGTTGACAAAACTGTTGGTCCCCTGTTTTAATGGAAAAAAAAAAGCCCACAAAGGTCACGGCAATAACTTGAAGCTGACAGAATTTAATAATAAATACAAATTGTATGCAAGTGAACAATTATGTTTAGTGTTTAATTTCTATCAGTGATCAGATCTAATATAATCAAATTCATTTTAAGAACATTGTTTTTCTCATGTCAAGCATACGGATGCTGTTATCCAGTAGAAGAGATCATGGCGTTCCCCATGCAGTCAGACATAATCCCATTGTGTTTTATTGTTTCGCTCCAGGATCTTTTCCTGGTAAAACATGACAGGAATACTTATTTGGGGGGAAAAAATCTGAGAGGCATGTTTGACAGTTGTCAGAACTGCCTCTGTGGATAGGGGAAGTAGGAGAAACATACTTGATATGAACTACATATTTCAGTATTTGGGCATGTAGTCATTTCTTCATCTGTCACCACTCTGTGTGTTTTATTATTAAGATTCTATGAAGAAACATACTCTGTTTATTTCTCCATCATTGCCAAATTAGCTTGTATTTGTTTCACTTGGGTGTCTGCTTCACTACAACCTCAGTACATTTCATATAGATTGTTTGCACTAATAGATACAGTTTAATAGCATTTGGCCATTCACACATTTCTCCTTTTTAACTTCTTAAGATCATCAGTTAAATATCAATATTTTACTAACAAACAAAATGATAATTGAAGTTATTTAAGGAAAGATCTATCCATCTAAACCAACACAGTCTTGTGTTTGAAAAATTAAGAATAGTAATCATTGTGGTTAATCAGAAATAATGATGATTATTCTTGGACAGTTGAAATTAATTTCACAAGTCACACCCAGGCCTTATTAGTGAGCATCCGACAAGTATCGTAAGACCACCCTTAATAGAACTCGTCTTAGGTCACTATTCATTTTAAGTTTTAAAAATCCAGTTTTCTATTTGATTCTCATTTGAAACCCACTGAGTCACTGCATACAAAACCTAAAACTTGGGTGAACCTTCCAAAGAGTGGCCGGCCTATCATAACTACTTAAGAAGCTCCTCAAAGTCGTAGGGAAATCGTATTTAAATTTCAAATCATTCAAGCTTAAAAATGTATATAAACCTACTCTTTATCAGACCATATTGTCCCAAAAATTAGAAAATTTCTATTTTCAAAAAAATTCTGTATTAAAATCTGTGGGTCTTTTTTTGTTATTTTATGCAGGCCAGTTAGTTATACGTCATCTTGTACACCTAAATTCGGCCAGTCATATATCAAAGGTCATCTGTCAATCAAATTTCTTCGGGCATAGCATCTTGATTCATATGTCGATGCTAATATACTCAACAGTTGAAATAAGAAATACAAATCATTTATTTTACCATTGAGTTCCGTCCCAGTGTTCACGGGGATGGACGTTTGTGTCTTCGGCAGGCGTAGAGCTAACAGAACTGACAGCGTTGCGAGGCAAGTGCTCAAACATTTACGGCTGTAAGCCTTCTACACCAAACCAAGCTTCTGGTGTCCTCTTCCACAACATCTTCATCCCCGCTTTCCTCCTCTAAATAAAAAATGTATGACAGAGGAGACTCATCCACGATCTCTGACACAAAACCCTCCTCCTCTTGCATGTTTTTGCTGTCCATAGCGTTTCTTGACAGTGTCGTTGCTAAGTGCTACTTGGTCCCAATGTAATTTCCCATTGGGAACCTACTAGCACTAGGTTACTAACTGGTTAGCAAGATGCTTCCGAGACACCGGCCACAACCAAACTTGCTTGGGAACCTTCCGCCACAACAATCCCGCTCCTTTATAATCGACCAATCACATTCACTGGTTTAAAGTCGGGCACCACTCGGGAGAATTCGGAACTGCACCGTTGGAACAGCTGCTTCCCTACGATGGAACAGCTGCTTCCCTACGACTTTAATGATTCATCCAGGAGAACTAAAAGGAATCCATAGCAACCCCTAAGTGTAGGCCCATTTGTCTTTGTTAATGTATATGTTTTATTCAAAAACATGATAAAAAGACACACTGTCTTTTAGGGAGAGAAAAGAGAAAACATACTGTGGACTGATGAAATAAAAATGTAATTTTCTGAAAGGTGTGTGTGTTATTTGATCTTGCAGAAACCTCCAATTAATCATTCTGACAGTGAATCATACTGCTGGTAGTAAGAGGTTCTGAGGCTGCATTGCTGTTCCACGATTTTGACGACAAATAATTCATGAATTTTGGCTTTATAACAGAAAATGTTGCTTAAACATGTGAGAAATACAATGATCCCAGGCCCCCCAAAAAGCAAAGACCAAATTATCTTTGAAACCTGAACTTTCAGCTAACTAAAAGTTACTAAATGAGGGTTAATCAGGCCCTTATGCTTCAAAACATTTAAGAGTGCAAGCTTAAAAACTACTATGCCAAAAAGATTGGATGAAAATTCCCCCACAAAGATTTAAAAGACTTATCACCAATTATTTTTTTTTTAGTTACTTTTTGTCCTGTTGGATTAGGAGTATAATTACTGTTTTGCAAGGGCACATATTGACTTAGAAAGACTTATCTCTGGATAAGTAAAATCTTCATTTCAAAACTATTGTTGTATTTATTTGAGTAACTTGTGTAGTTTTAGAATTTGTATAAGCTGAAATATTTAAGTGCAAACAGAAGAAATGTGAGGTATGAATACTTTTTCAAAATCTTCCAATCTGTCTCATGTTGAAACTTACAGAAATATCCTCCGACATTGAAGAAAACCAGTCCGTCCATCTTTTCAACCTTATGAAGGATTCAAAAAGGAATATTGACATTAATTCAATTGAGCTGATGTATTACAGAAAGTTGCCTGACATTGAAATATGAGCCTACATTCAATATGCAGCATTTGTTTAGGGTTTTCAAAACCTCAACCATATTTCCTTTGATGCACCCAGCTGAATTTAGTCTGCTCTTTACCAATCATTACCTTAAAAGCACTTGGTCATCCCACCTATGCGTCTCCCTCCTCAATTATTGAGAGCCATTACGTTTATAGCATTAACAGACAAAAAAATGTACTGCTATTTAATGCACACGGGTTTCTCTGTTGTCATTTAATGTCCTTTGTCTCCATAGGAAAGCAGCACAGCAGTGACTTCTCCCGGCTAATTGCACAGGTCCGAGGCCGAATGCAGACCAGACACCAAACATGTGCTAAACAGGAGGGGAAGGTGGAGAAAGAAGAAGCCCAAGCATCACAGTCTTCTGGTAATCTTCAAGACAAAAGGGTCACTAGGTTTTACATTTGGGCCTATAAAATCATCCTCAGCTTATTTCAGTTAAAACTTTATGTTTAAGAAAGCTCTATTGGGGGGAAAAAAATTCTACACAGATCACTCGTAGTTAAATACATCGTCTGACTTTGTGCAATTTATAATAATACTTGAATTTTATTGATCTCACAATGGAGAAATTCAATTCTGCATCGTAACCCGTCCCCTTGGGGAGCAGTGGGCTGCCACTGTGCAGTGCAATGAGGAGCAATCATGGGTTCAGGGTCTTGCTCAGGGACCCAGAGTGCAGGCTGTAGGGATCAAACCAGGTACTTGCGAACTTCTTGAAGCACAAGCGCATTGCTGTAACCACTACGCCATCACGTCCCCTAAAGTGAAATCTATTAGAAACTAAAGCAGGTACACATCACAGCATTAAGCCCTTGTCACAACTCGACAATTTAGCTAGTGTATGCCTGAAATACGAAAAATCTGACAAAAACGTGGGCATATGTTGGATAATATATGGGTACGTTTTGTAAAAGTTATGAGCACGCTGAAGAACGCTGAAACACGCTGGCACACATGGACATACAGTAAGTACGTCGAGAAATTTTGAGCTCAAAATTCTCAGCGTATGCCATACGTGTGGCATAAGTTACTGGTAAGTTATCGGATCGTTCACACATGTTAAGTATAAGTTATTCATAAATCGTGGTGTCTAAATTATCCAAAACGTATGAATAACTTGTGCATAACTTATGCGTAACTTAGCAAGAACTTATCTCTAACGCATATCAACGTATCTGATGTACTCCAGACGACCACTGAATGTGTTGCAATGTACAGCTAACGTTTAATGGAGTATTGGCAGCGTTGTGGTATAAAAGGGGTTCACAGGAGGAAACCGTCACTTCTCCTCAAGACTTCATCCCCATCATAGCATGAGCATGAAGGGGAGTGTGATAGATCCTCCCTGCGCTCAGGGACATAAGTTCTGGACTCGTTATAAATCCTCTATGTATATGCCCACTATTGAATAAATATATAGAAAGTTCAGCATACGCCAGCGTTAGAAGATTCCTCCGACGTCAGGCATACTGCTGGCTAAATCATCAAGGTGTGACAGGGGCTTTAACAGCATTTCTGTTTGGTCTAATAAAATCTTTATCAATCCTCTCAAGTTTAAACCATAAACTAGATATTTTATTTCTTTTGTTATTTTTTTAGAAATGCACAGAAGACTGACGCTTGGTACAGTCTAAACCTCGTAATCACGGAGAGGAGAGATTTGAGTCTTTTCTCCTAATCAAAGAGGGCTTTATGACTATCTATTTTATGTTTTTGTTATTCCATACCAACTCTTTTACGAGAGTCTAAATATAAAGAAGTTTATTTTGGAAAAATAAATGATTTTCTCAAACTTGTCAGCACTAGTTGTCACGATGCAGATTAAAGTCAGATAATTCCCGTGCAAAAAGCATTGACTCGTATCCCAGCAAAATCCCCTTGATGAGTTCAGGGGCTTGAATGATGCTCCTAATAGAACTTACAATTATATGTTTAGCTGCACATGGCGCCTTGCAGAAAGCCAAAATTAAAAAGTCAAAATTCATACTGACTTTTGTTGTTACACTTTTATCCAAAATGAAGAAAGAATTCAGATGTCAAATTACTCACCAAAATCTATTGTTTTGTATTTCGTGCAGTTCATGGCGCAGAAACAAACCATGCTGTAGTGGTGAAGGTCGAAAACGTGGAAGACGATGAAGATTCGCCTGCAACAGTATTAGGGCTGCCATGTAGCCCCAGTGTCAGTGATGTGTCCATCAGCAGGTGAGGTACCACCTAATGAATAGTTTGATTTATATACTCTTTAAAACAGAACTGGGCTTTATTGTAGGCTGTAATCTAGACAGCATGTTTTGCTCTGGATTCGGTTATTTTATATGACTCTGAAAAAAATGTACAATTGTTTCAGCATATTCTGTTCTGAAAACCAAAAATTTAAATCTACACCATAATGAGATTGCTTTATTTAAAAACAAAAACACCATCATTACTTCTATTTGTTTACATTATGACTTCTATTTCCTCTTTTTTCTGCTGCCAAAATTATTTTCATATTGCTAACAAATTGATTATTTGCCTTACCGTTTCAACAAGTGTGGTGTTTATATCTTGAAAGTTATTTTTTATTCTGCTACACAGATTCAGATGAAAAAAATTAAAGGATCAAAAAAGACTACTTTTATCCCAGACCAATGACACAAACCCTGCTGCTATAGGTTTGTGCTGCTATATGAGCGAAGAAAGAGCCATGCTTTCAAATGCTTTTAAATTATCATTCAATTAAATTCAAATTTGAAAAAAGGGTTTTATAATGTCTGGAATACTGAACCTCAAAATAGTTTTTTATTTAAGTAAAACCCACTTGTCTTAAATTTATTACGATAATAATAGAAGAATAAACTCTTACTGCCTAATGTTCAGCTAAGCACATCTATTGCATACCTAAAGGTGTACCAGTAACCTTATGCCGTCTTGTTTGATCAACTTTTAAATGGGTCAGTGCAATATTAGCAATTCACTTGTTTTGGGCTGATCGATTACGGTAATAGAAAAAATACTTCACATATTAATCAATTAGCAAAATGATCATTAGTTGCAACTCCACATTAAAGTGATACCTTTTGCAGTTTTTTAAAAAGTATCATTTTAAAGTAGCGTATATTAAAGAAAAAACAACCTCAAAAATCAACCCAACACTTTAAAATCTTCTAAAGGTTGGTCTTAAGCCCATCTTCACAAACAAATGTTCTATCTGAGCAGTAGCTTGACATCATCACAATTAAATCATTAAAGTCTCTGATATCTTTCACAATTTGTGCCTAAAGCCGAATGTACAGATGTGCCTTATATTTAACACTGGTATCAAAATAAATAAAAAAAACACAATGTGTGCTTTTATTTTTTTCTTTCAAAACCCAAGCCAAGGTTTTTAGATGTCTGAGCTAATTAGTTATTTTCTCTTCTATCCAGAGATGCAAAGTGTTACAGTGAATTCCTGCAATTATTTCCTCTTAAGCTTAATTATTACTCAGAGGGTAATTACAATAATCCGAGGTAAATAAAGCCCCAAATTACAGACAACATTAGCACTCACCGAACCATTCATCTAATACTGATTGCCTCCTGTCTGTTTTAAGTGCTGCAACAATCAAACAAATCAGCCATTTAGATTTTACCCTGATGTCTAAAATATCCTCCTCAGTTCTATTATGCTTTAAACTACATTACTTTTTTCTATCACAGAACATCCACTGGTTTAAACTCAGTATGCTGTGCAAAATGTCTCTTTCATTGTTTACTAAATATTGATCAAACTATTAATAATTACACATCTGATATGTCTCTAAAAATGCAATAAGCAGATCTGTTGAAATGCTATAAATTAGATTCCCAAATAGAAGTGCATTAAATTGTAAGCATGTTATTTAAGGCTGGTTTGATTAACTTTTTTATGATTACACAAGAGTGGAAAAACATGTACGAAGCAATGAAATGGATTTTAAAATTATTCAAAATAATATCAGCAATATGACCATATCTTGACTTCCTCATAATAGGAAGATGTTTAACAATATTGGTGAATGTTACAATACATGTCCTTCTCAAAATATTAGCACATTGTGATAAAGTTCATTATTTTCCACGATGTAAATATAAAACTAAACATTCATATATTTTTGATTCATTGCACCCTAACTGAAATATTTCAGGTCTTTTATTGTCTTAATACGGATGATTTTGACATACAGCTCAGGGAAACCCAAAATTCCTATCTCACAAAATTAGCATATCATGAAAAAGTTCTCTAAACGAGCTATGCACCTAATCATCTGAATCAACAAATTAACTCTAAACACCTGCAAAACATTTCTGAGGCCTTTAACACTCCCAGCCTGGTTCATCACTCAAAACCCCAATCATGGGTAAGACTGCCGACCTGACTGCTGTCCAGAAGGCCATCATTGACTCCCTAAAGCAAGAGGATATGACACAGGAAGATATTTCTGAACGAATAGGCTGTTCCCAGAGTCCTGTATCAAGGCACCTCAGTGGGAAGTCTGTGGGAAGGAAAAAGTGTGACAGAAAACGCTGCACGAGAAGAGGTGACCAGACCCTGAGGAAGATTGTGGAGAAGGGCCGATTCCAGACCTTGGGGGACCTGCAGAGGCAGTAGACTGAGTCTGGAGTAGAAACATCCAGAGCCACCGTACACATGCGTGTGCAGGAAATGGGCCGCATTCCCCAGGTCAAGCCACTTTTGAACCAGAAACAACATCAGAGGCGCCTGACCTGGGCTACAGAGAAGCAAAACTGGACTGTTGCTCAGTTTTGCATGTCATTTGGAAATCAAGGTGCCAGAGTCTGGAGGAAAAGTGGGGAGAAGGAAACGCAAAAAATGCCAGAAGACCAGTGTCAAGTACCCTGAGTCAGTGATGGTCTGGGGTGCCATGTCAGCTGCTGGCGTTGGTCTGCTGTGTTTTATCAAGGGCAGGTTTAATGCAGCCAGCTATCGGGAGATTTTGGAACACTTCATGCTTCCATCTGCTGAAAGCCTTTGTAGAGATGAAGATTTTATTTTTCTGCACGACCTGGCACCTGCTCACAGTGCCAAAACCACCGGTAAATGGTTTACTGTCCATGGTGTCACTGAGACCATGGTCAGTGAGCCAATTGAGAGACGAAAGATCCAACATTCTAGATGAGCTAAAGGCCGCTGTCGAGGCATCCCGGGCCTCCATAACACCTCAGCAGTGCCACAGGCTGATTGCCTCCATGCCACGCCGCATTGAAGCAGTCATTTCTGCAAAAGGATTCCCCACCAAGTATTGAGTGCATAACTGTACATAATTATTTGAAGGTTGACCTTTTTTTGTGTTAAGAACACTTTTCTTTTATTAGTCGGATGAAATATGCTAATTTTGTGAGATAAGAATTTTGTGTTTTCATGAACTGTATGCCAAAATCATCTGTATTAAGACAATAAAAGACCTGAAATATTTCAGTTAGTGTGCAATGAATCTAAAATATATGAATGTTCAAGTTTTATCATTACATAATGGAAAATAATTAACTTTATCACAATATGCTAATATTTTGAGAAGGACCTGTATTATATGATGTGACTTACAGTGAATAATTTTGGTGTTAATCATAAATATGTTAATGTCTCGGTGAGTAGGTTATCCAACCAATGGAAAAAAAGAAATAAGTAAAGTACTTTTTTCTTGCTCCTGGCTAAAGATTGTTGTTCGGCATAATAAACAACTGATGTATATTTGTTATATCTTGATCTCCTTCCCCCTTTTTACCTTGGCAACATCTATTGGTGATATGCAAATTTTTTACAATTACATAACACTTCTGATATATGTGCTAAATAATGTTAAAGTCCTAGAGATATGTTTTTTATCGTCTGTAATTAAGCTGTGGTGTAAACAGTTGTGGAAACGGACATTAATGTAAGTCTTGGATGACTATAGTGGTTTTTGTTTAACCTTAAAGAGTTCTCTCTTTTCACATCCCTTCAAGTTGTTTTCTGATGTATTGCTCAAACTGTATGCCATTGCCAATTAGAATAGAACCATTGAACTTGTCCTGTTCCCTCTGTGGGTGATTAAATACCACAACCTTGGTCTAAAAGATCTGGTATGGTTATAGGATCATGGTTAAAAGCTACCTAGGTGTATATCGTATCATCATTTTTTTTGTTTAAAGGCAGCAAATTTGAACTTGTAAATTACATCTTTTTCATTCTCTTACTCTTTCTTTCTTCTTTTTTAGTTCTATTTCAGACATTTTTGGTCCAGAATCTTCTCTAAACATTGAGTAAGTTCTTTTTATAATTTTGATCAATTATATTAAATAAATGCAGTCCTGTTTCTGCTTACAGCTTGCTGGAAAATCTTTCTGCTGCCTCTGACTTTACTTTCACTCCAGTTTTTAAAAACCCAAATGCTGAGACAGAATTTCACTTCAAGTTCTTTGCTTTAAAAAATAAAGTATATTGTACCTTCTCCCATCTGTATGACTGCTGCATATCTTTAAGTGTTTAATCAAACACAAAAGCTATTAGGAAATACAGTAGAAAGCTTTTTTGAAGGGAATCATTTATCCTATAAATACCGAATCGTTAAGAGTTGTCGATTCTATGTCTCAATACTGTCCCTGCTTTTTTGTATTAGATTGATCTGCAGAAGGTGACCCAACAAATGGTATTAAAAAATGTTCTAGCAGCTCAGCAGAAAGAAACCATGAGTCAAATTAGCTGTCATGAGTCAAGTTACAGTAGGTGTCATTATCCAAAGCTATTTTGTGGGTTTCTCAGTAGCTTCTGTCATTGAATTGATATTGTCCCTCTGCAGCCCTGCTGATTTGTGACCCAGTCATAGACTTGCTGGGAGAAAGCTTTGTTGTTTCCCAGTTTCCCATATTTCCTTAAATTTCACCCCCCATGAAAATTTCAACCTGAAAAGTTGTCAGTCGGGCTTTTTTTTTCATTGTCTCCCCCTTAAGGTCATATTTTTATGAGGGTTTATCTTTAAAGAAATCTGCTATTTTAGTTTGTGAAGTTAAAATCATCAGATGTGTTGCTGCCAATGCAGTTTAAAAAGTTTACATTTTATAGCCTAGACAATCAGTTCTTTTAGTCAGAAGACTGACAGCACTGATTCTTATGTATATAGATAGATAGCTCTTATTTTAATCAAATGATTTTGACAGTTCAATAAGACCATCACACATCTGCTTATCCCCAAAGGCCACAAATACATAACTGCAGCAACCTAAAGCTCATTAACTTGCGAACCACGATCAGAGGACACTGAATCATATCCTCACATTGGTGTTTTCAGGACAGAAAATTTCATCATGTCATCTGTGAAGTTTTTCTCACTGCTGTTTGCAGTTTTACTCAAATGAAGTGGACCAAATACAAACTGAAAGGCAGTGTCTTTAATTTTTTATTTATTTTTTTTGGTAGAGGGAGGTTCTACCAATATTGACATAAATGCTCTATGTTTTTTCTCTGGCCCTTATATCAAGTTTAGGTTGGCCAATTCTCTTTCAGTATATGACCAGTAGTCTCATTTCCTTTTGGGCTAATGATTCAAATAATAATTTTATCAAATAAAGCTTAAGCACCATCCTTTTCCCTTACCCCACCAGGAACACTCCCTATTTGGATGCCTTATCCATTTATTTTCTTTTCGAGCAACACCTGGTCTTCTGATGAAAATTCCTTCACTGGAATGGGTTTTTTCCTTCCAAAGAGCTGAGATAAAAAGGTTTCAAGACATTACTTCAGGCTGAAGGGTGCTGCATACATCTATAATGGAATCAGCTGAACAGAGGCCCCTTCATGTGTAGCTGGGAGTAGTTCAACAAATGAAACACTGATTTTATGGGTCCCTTTTGGATTTCTAAGCCTTGATATCTGTAGATTGGTGAAAGTTGAGGAAGTGCCAGACAATAATACATCTGTAACTCAGCCACTGGTGTTAGATTCTCCTTTAATAAACTTTTCTGTTGCAAGTCTGCAACTGGTGGGCTTGTACTCACTTTTATCAAACAATGTTGTATAAATAGTCCACATGGCTTCTGTGAGCTGAATAAAAAGACTTATTCACAGTGTACTAATGCAATGCAGTCTCACTCCCAACCCGTCAAACACTGATGGTTGGTAAAGCCTCCTGAGCGTCAGATACTGATGCAATGGGGTATCTCTGTTGTCATTTGAAACGCAGGGTACATGACAGGTTATAGCTGGAACTTGCTAACATTTTCCATGAACTGGAAATTAAAAATCTCACTGACCCATCCCTAACCACTAAACCTAAAGGAACACTGGTATACTTGTTACCATGAACCCCTACTGCTAGCAAAAGTAGTTTTTAATTATTTAAGCCAAATACTTTAATGCATTCTTTTTAATACCCCTAGTGGGGTATATCAATTTAGAATCATTTATACCATTAAGATATAAACATTATGAGAACATCCTTATAGATTGTTAATTGACTTTTATTTGGAAAGATGGTAAATATAACCCTGTCCACTTGAGGGCTTGTTCTAATGAAAAAAGCCATAACTATTGGAGAGAATATTATTTCTTTTAAAGGGTTAACATAGTCTGAAACTTAATTTGGTGCTGCGTATTTAAAGAATAATAAACTCTGGCAGAACCCGGTTCTTTTCTCATGTGCCTACTCATGGATGTTTTTAGATGTAGACAAGGGTCAGCAAGGGAACCCTTGCTTCACTCTAGCCACAGTATGCATTTCCTTACACAACAGCTGCAATATCCTGTGTTTTCTGACACATAGCCTGCAAGAACTTCTACAGCTATTTGAGTAATAGTAGTTCACCTGGAGAATTTGACGTCCAAATAAAGTCTTCAGCACTCCAGGCAGCTGTCACCGATTCCCCAGTGGACTTTCCAAGAACCACTTGTAATGAATCCTAACCACCACTGAACTTGGCCATCACAAACTGCCCTTTGTCAAACTCACTCATGTTACCTAGCTCATTTCTATGTCCTTTAACAGATTAACTTGAGGGTAAAATGTTTACGAACTACCCAGGTTGACCGACACATTAATAGGTGGCAGTTAAAGGTGTCAGAAGGTAATGGATGTAAATTACCTTACCTTTATGCATAATGTTTTACCATATCAGTGTATACACACAGAGCGCTCACTGCTTCAAAACTTGTCAGATACTCCTGCGTTTTATCTATACTAACATTACTTGATACCTTCCTACACCAATCAGACAAAAGGCCTACTCCCAATACGTCCCCTATTTTCAACCACAAGCCCTTACTTGCAGCCACTAACTCTCACCCACAATCAACACACTCTGGTCAGGGATTCCCTAGGAATCAAGAACACCCCTCGCTGCATAGTTGACATTCTGCTAGGTAAATTAATGCACATTTAAGTATGTATGTATGTACATAAGATACACGTCACCATAAGAGAGATAAAGCTTTAAAAGAAAGAAAAAATGGAGCCTGTAATTGAAAAAGGGGGTTAAGTTGAGCTTGATTAATTATCCTTTTCCTTTATCAGCTATTATTATTCTGAAAAACTGATTAGTAAACCCAGCTGAAAATTTCTAGTGTAATAAATATGCTAATTTCAAAACCATAGGACATAATTACACAGTGGCGTGCTATTTTTAAAAACTTAAAATTTAAGATAGAGAAAATGAGAATGTTGAAAAGGATGAAGTTTGGAGCCTCTAAAGAGTTTTTGAGGTGACTTTTAAAAAAGCAGTTTTAATTTAGCCCTAGAAGGACTCATCTCTTACCTTAAACAAAGACACTGACCAGTCGATGTCCTAACCCTCCCCTGCTCCAGGGCTGTCCCGGCGCCCGGAGTCTAGGGCCTGGAGGAAGAGTGAGCTGCCTGGTCCGCGATCTTGGCGGGAGGGTGTTGCTGGGTGGCCTCCTGTTGCTGGGGCTGTCATTTCCGCTCTCCCCAAAGGGGTTTGGAGGGAGGGGCGAATGGGGTATTGAGGGGGAGGAAGTGAGTAAGGCCATGTGAGTTATTTTTTTCCCAAGAACATGTCAAGTCTCTGCTAAGTGCGAAGCCCATTCCCCCCGTCCTGCCCTCCCTCCGCTGGCTGGCGCTTGGGCTTTCCCGTGCACTGGTGGTGCTTGGTGTTTGGGGGTGGATGCCTGGGCTGTTATTGGCTTGTTCCTGGCGGCTGCTTCGCGGGGCCTGACCCCCCGGGGCCCGGCCGCCCCTGGGGCCTTGGGTCCCTGGGGCAATGTTTGAGAGATGCGTTAAACAACACAGCCCCACAACATCCAGAGCCTTAACGTAATCAGGGCGAATCTCATCCACCCCTGGGGCCTTGCCACCGAGGAGCTTTTTAACCACCTCAGTGACCTCAGCACCAGAGATTGGGGAACCTGACCGCTCTGCTTCCTCAATGGAAGATGTGTTGGTGAGATTAAGGAGGTCTTTCAAGTACTCCGCACACTGATACACAACGTCCCGAATCGAGGTCAGCAATACACCACCCCCACTATAATTAGTGTTGGTACTGCACTGCTTCCTCCCCCCCAGACGCCGGATTGTGGACCAGAATCGCTTCACTTGACAGCTTCCCGCACCGCTGGTGTCCACCAGCGTGTTTGAGTGTTGCCGCCACGTCATGCACCCACAACCTTGCAGCCACAGCTCCTACGAGCTGCCTCAACAATAGAGGCACGGAACATGGTCTACTTAGACTCAGTGTCCAGCACCTCCCTCGGAACGTGTTCAAAGCTCTCCCAGAGGCGGGAGTTAAAGATCCTTCTCACGAGGGACTCTGCCAGATGTTCTCCTGGGAGAATCGGGTGAACCCAGAACAATGATGCCAACGGCTTTGTTTGGTTTTCAAAAGTAAAAAAGCAAAAAAAAAAAAAACTGCAAGTCACTCCATAAAATCCCTATCATCCATATTTTCTGTGAGATTGTTTCTGGTCCTTCCCGGCAAGCCAGCATCTGAAATTTCTCACTTTAAGGGCTAGATTCATACCCGCTACCCCTCGTTATATACACTACCCCCACATGCAACAAGGAAGTGGGACCATCATGGGAATGTGCAACATAGGGCTATGGCTAAAAGGGCTTGGGGTTGTATTGTGATGGGATCTTTTCGTTTTTGTTTTTTTTCTGTGCTTTGATGCAGTGGCATATGGTGGGTTTCACACTTTCAGCCGAAATTGTAAGCATTAAGTTTAATTAAAATGCATCAAAAGCAACATTATTTTTACATATGTATTTGTATAAATGTATATGTGTGTGTTACATATATACAAGTGTTACATTTTATGAAGAAAAAGAAAACCTAACCCTCCAATTGTGTTCATTCACAGAGACATAGTGAAGTCTCCAGTCCAGAAGCGACCGTCCAGCTCCAGAGGCAGTAATGCTGAAAAATCACCTGGTACAGCCAAGCGAAGGCGTAAAACATGAAGAAGTGTGTGGTGACTTAGTGTTAGATGATGTAAAGTGTTACTTTTAGATGATGTCGTGGAGATGGAAAGTTTTCATTAAATTGAAACAATGGGCACATGACAAGCATTTCTTTAACTTTCAGATGTTGCTGTTTACTCTGATTTTGTGTAATAAATTTTATAGTATTTTATCATATTTTGTTTTCATGTGTTCAGTATTGAGCTGTTTTTGTATTTTATCATGTTTATTCAGAAAGACAATGGCTGTAAAATCAGTATTTCAAGTAGAATTACTTTGTAGTTGCTGTAGGTTTAATTGTCAGAGTTAAACTTCAACATTATTCATTTATATAAATTTGCTTCAATCTAATTATCTTTCTAACTACAGCTTTTCTTGCTCTGAAAAAGCTTACTGTTGGAGTTTTATTTCACAGAAGTATCTTTTTCCCTCCACTTAATCCATAGTTTATTCCACTGTAATTTGCAGCCTATACCCAAATAAAACAGCTGGAACACTAAGGATTTTTCCAAAAGGCACATTTCCATGTTCTTTCTCTCATCAAATGTCCATCTATTTGCTAATCTCTGACCTCCATCTCCAAAGTCTCTCACGTGTTTTTAATCTTTGCCACGGAGCCATGCAGTACACATTTCCAATGTCATTTGCAATTTAAAAGTTTGCAGATAATTTGCGACTTTCAGATTGATTGTTTTCATTGAACAAGAAGAAACCGAGGTCAGTTTAATTCAAGAAATGCAAAGGTTGTGGAAACCCCAAATTAGGACAAGGCAAGAGTGTAAACTCTTAAACACAGGAGGGAGTGTTTATGTGTGCGTGCACAGGAGAGTTGGCAGGAACTCGTCTGGGAGCCGACCCTGATTGAAAACAGAGCTAGCCTGCAGTCAGACACATGGCGGTCCGACTGCTGCGATCCTGCTCAGATAAAGCAGACACACACATATCAGTAGATTTTAATAGGAACAGAGGAAAAGCCTTTCACCCTGCACTCCTATTTCCAGAAAGTCCTTTTCTCTTGCACTTTTTCATTCGTATTATAAGCTGCACTGTAACTTTTTGGTGAAATCTAAGTGACATGACTAAATTGTTTTCCCTGAAAGCTTCAGTTTGCCTAGCAGTGAAGCATGGAGCGATGTCATCAATCTTGCACAGCCTACTCTTTGGGAGAGATCCATAGAATGCATCAAAGCTGAAGTCACCTTATCTGTCTGAATCTTCATGGTATTGACATAGGGGACATCTCATCACTCGTCCACCATAAGGTTCATTAATCTCTGTTTTACAGTATCTAAACATGTATTTTTTTCACTCAGACTTCAGCCTTTTGTGAGACAATTGGCTCCTTCCATTTCTTCAAGGAAAGTTTACCAATCTGTACTGTATGTCTTGGTGAGAGATCAATGTGATACAGGAGATCAATGATCCTCCCAGCTGAGTGTTCTTTAACTTCCCAGATCTTTATTTAAGCTTAGACTATAAACAGCGATGAGAAAAGGGGTTTGTCTCCTTTGTGATTTCCTTTTTTAATGTTTCAACCTATATGGCCCTGTGTCACTGTTCGCCCCTAAACCTTTGACGAAAATTAGCAGCGATATCTGCAATCAAATATGTGGAATTACTGGAGTATTTATATTGACATAGTAGAGGAACTGTATTAATCAGCCACTTACCTGAGTTTTAGGATGATGGGTCTGTTTAATATCCTAACAGTTTAGCACGGCAAAAACTATCTGAAAATAAATGTTTAGAATAACTTTTATTAACTCTTCATTTGATAAGTAAATGATAGTCTTCCATTTGAATGAGTATTTTTGCTCTCAAAAAAAGCCAATTCGATGTTATGCACTTGAAATAATTGAATGCAATTGTTTTTTTCTTATTTTAAATGTGCATTGTCTTATTCTATTGGCGAAGTATCTGACTTACCTGATTATTACAAGAAAAAAGTCACTTATTTTAAGAAAAATTGACTTCCATTTAAATTTTAGATTATTCAAATCCGGGTAAGGACTTTAAGTGGACCAATTCCAAGTTGTCTTTTGTTCCTTTTCTGTGTAATGTGAACGTTCTGGTTTGTTTTGAGACATTGGGCCTTGAGCAACATTTTTGTATCCTACTGTGGGCTCTTCTGAATATACATCAGATTCTGCCAACTTTTTTTCCTCAGTTAATGATCATACATGATCCTTGCATACCTGATGCAGTCCACCTTTGTGTAAGCGATTGCATGTTCATAAGAACTGTAAAGAGAGCAAGACTTGTAAATCTGTGTAAAACCAATCAGTGGGGAATAAATTAGCTGCAAATGCTGTGGTTGCATTGTAACAGAAGTAAAAATGGAAACAAAAAAATTTGATCTTAAAATGGTGTGAAAGACTTGTCCATTAACCAACGCAAAGCAATATTCTGGAAAAATCTTCTGATATACATAAACATGTTCACCATGTCTGCATACTGCCATCCCCTCATCGCACTCTCCATCTCTCTCATTCAACATAAAAATGTTCAAACTAAGTTCTTAAATTCAGACAGACCAAAACCTTCCACACTGAGACTAGGAAAACAAAATATCACTTTTACTTTTAATAGTTTTGTGTAATGATAAATTCAAGATTGTGCCCAGAAGTAAACTCAACGCATGTTTTACCTTTAGACTAAGACATGAGCGTTTCAAGCACCAATGCTGAATTTTCTGCTCCAGATGTTAATAGTTTGATCTGCCCTCATTGATTGTTCTTTCTTTTGACGAAATGACAACAAATTAAACCCTGGATACTGACATGCCAGCTGCAGGTTTTGTGACGGATAGTTCTGTCATTATCAAATGGACCTCTAAAAAAAACACATGTAGTCATTTAGTGAAAAACTAGGTTTGGATAACAACTGACTGCGCAAGACTCCTACGCCAAGTCTTACGCACTCAAATTTGCTCATACCTGAGAGATGTTTAGAAATAGAAGAAACGTTTCGAATGTAACATTTTATCCTAAATCACTCAATGATTTACAACAAATTTGTTCATACGAATGCTTCTAGCATAAGAGGAGCTCCTTGAGTATTTTGTTTTATTTGACAGCAAAATTCAGACTTCTATTTAAAACAATTTATATTTCAGATATTGAGGTGTCAAACCCCCCCCCACCCAATCCATCACATTACTACGTATGTTTTTTTCTGAAATGCAGTTACCTGAACACACTCACCTTTAAAAAAGATCTATCTTTGTCATCAGTCCGAAAGATATTTTCCAAAAGTTTTATGATTAAGATTTTCCTCAGGCATTTATGTTCCTTCTACTCAGCTGTGCTTTTCATCTGGGAACTCTGCCATGTGGGCCCTAGTCTCTTCCTGACATTAACTAAGGCAAGAGAGGACTAAGGTTCATTGGACTCATACTGTGGACCGTTTTGTGGCCACCCTGAAGATTTATCACAGCGCACTTGGTAATTTTTATGGCCATGTGCAATAGGATTTTTTTCCCCCTCTTATAAGAAAACTGCTTAATTTTAAGACTCCAGTATGTGCAAGCTAGGGTGATCTTTGTCTAATGTTAAAGTTGTTGAAAATCTTGAATATTTACATAAAACAAACATATAGCATAAATCATGAAGGGTGCCTGTACGTTTTTTTTTTTATTTACAATTGTGTTCATTTATATTTACAGTTAAAATTCTACTCTAGAATACTGATATCTGTTTATAGTGCTTTGCACTTTCTATTCCTTATATAAAATCTTAACATTTTGATTTCCATTTCATATGTAAAACCAACACATTAGTTTATTACAAAGAAATCAGGAAGGTTTGGTGGACCTTTGCATTACTATATTTAATTGACAACCCTAGAAGAAAACTCATAGAAAAAATGCACTGCAAATGGCTTTTAAACTCTCTTCTGTTAAACCTCTGTTAAGTTATGAATCAATATCTCAGGTTTTGAACATCTCAGAGCGCTGTATAATCCATTATCTGAAAATTAAGAGTATGGCTTCAGCAAGACAATGACATATACCTAAACTGAAAGGCCAAACAAGGAAATCACGAGAAAGTATTTGAAAAGTTCCACTATTCAGGTTGGACAAGCTGTTAATAGGACATGAATTGACACTGACAAATATGGTTTTTTTTTGGTAACGAAGAACAAGAAAGGAAAACAGTGACTGAAATAGATTTAAGACTGGGGCAGAGGTTCACTTTCCAGAGGGACTGCGACCCTAAACGTACAGCTGCAAAGCTTAGATCAAAGTTAAGTCATAAACCGATCAGTCTTGAAAATTAACGTTCAAAGATACAGTTGATCTCATCTGATTGTGCTGTTTGGTAAAAGATGGGGAAAATATTCTTCGAGTCTTTGAGATTTTAACTTGACAAATTGTGTAGACATTTCAGCGGGCATGAGTACTTTTATCAGAAATATTTTCAACCATAAACCCAAGTTCTATAAAGGTATTCAAGGTATATTTGATTGGCAAAAATTGTATAAAAGGGAAGTAATTCCTATTATGACTCCACTGAACTCCTAAATGTGAATTATTGTCTCTTGAAGTGTTGTAGAGAAGTTTAAATCCAATCATTTTGGGCATGCATATAATCAATTACGACTTTTTAATGATTTATTTGATCTGCTCCTTTCTCAGATTGGAATGATAACACAGTTCAGCTTTAAGCAGACAGAAAAAAAACAAGTTTGCATTTATTATTTTTTTCCCCCATCTCAAAATTCTACAATATAAATCAACTATAAACATAAAGCCATACTAATACTTGATTAAATGTCTTTTGGAAAGTTCTTTTTAAACTTCTTGTTTTTTTACAGCCATAATCTTGGCTGCCTTTTTGACCACTCATTCAGTCAGAATCGGTGAAGGGGGTTAGTTTCCTGGCCGGAACCCGACCTTCAAGCAAAGTTCATAAATCTTCAGTATGGTTTGAGTCTTGGTCTTTAAAAAATAAGCTAAATCTTGGCCTGTTTTGTTGAGTCCAAATTAATTTGAAGTGTGCTTGTTATAACTGTACTGAACACCTAAACTGTCTAAGTTAAAGTCTTCTCTCCAAGCTCATCACCCTCGTATGCAAAGATGGTTCACAATGTTCAAAACCAAACCAGAAACCAACCGCACTCATGTTAATCATGCACCGGAAGATGCTATAGTATCAATGTCAGTATCCACAATGAAATCTGTTCAACACTTGTTTGACTGGAAAATTTCTGGTCAGAAACGAACAAACTGCTCCAAAATGAACGTCTTCCAGCTTAACTAAAATGCGTAGTTACATCAACAGCCCAGTTGGACACGCAGAATGCCACAAATTTAGATTGGATAAAAGTCTTCAAAACCTAATAATAGTGGTATGCTGGGATTCTGTTTTAAAACCAATGGCACAGGTACATTCATACAAAAATTATGTTATAGGAGTAATATCTTAAAAATGTTTGACTCCACCTCAAACAAACAGATATACAGCGTCAGCGTTGCAATGACCCATTTGTTTGCTGATCTCTGTCTGCATCCTGTTTTGGTCTTTCAGGCATACTTTATAGATAGAATTGAATTGTTTTTTTATTTGTGCCAGGGCAGTTCAGCTTTAAAAAAATGTTTGTATAAATATCAAGATAATATCAAAAAGTTTTATTTGAATCTGTTCATTAAAGACATAATTTTTGCATATGGTTGCAGTGATGTGTGTTATGTTTGGTAAACTTGCCCCCTGGAAGCACCAGGCACCTAATAATTGCTCTCCAACACATGGGGTAGGTTTGCAGGATCAGCAGTCCACAGCCCAAAGACAATTGCTACCACATCCTTATATGCAGTGTTGTATAGTAACGAAGTAAAAATACTTCACTACTGTACTTTAGTATATTTTGGAGTACTTTATACTTTCCAAGAGTATACATTTTTTTTGACAACTTTCACTTTTACTTCACTACATTTACAAACTTAATTGCATACTTTTACTCTGATACATTTTCAATGTTTGGTTTAGTTACTAAGTAAAAAAAAAAAAAAACGAGCGAGAGAAAGGCAAGTGTTTTGACCTCACCTACTGACTACAAAGTTGGGTCTTGCCTGGGCTTGTCCATCAACACCAATAGGATACGCCTGTTTTGCAAAGCCAGTCTAAATTTATCCTACACTTGGTTGTTTATATTATTTTAAGTGAATTTAACCTTCAAAGTTTACCAAAATGTTAAAAAATGTCATTCAAACTGCACTTACTTTTTACTTATACTTTTTACTACATTACTTGAGTACATCTATTTTTACAGTAATTCTTATACTTCAGTACAAGTCATTTCAGATACTTTAAGACTTTTACTCAAGTAACATTTCAGTCAGTGACTTGGACTTTTACCAAAGTTATATTTTGGAGAGGTACTTATACTTTTACTTGACTCCGAGATTTCAGTACTTTTTACAACACTGCTTATATGCAATATGAGCCTGCAGACCAGCTCTTGAACAGCAAAACCGCCCAGCAGAGAAGAAGGGAAACGTCATAGAAACTTTAACTCTCTGGCCCAATCAACAATGCTCTCTGCTGTAAGGCAGCCTAAATGGCCACTAAGGTCCAACATTCCCTACTCTACTGCTGTTTAATATGTTGTATGTGTTCAAAAGAGAGTGATAGGCACCAGAAAATCAGCACAAATTCCCATCTTAGCCACACCACCAAGCTAAGACCATGACTAGAGACTGGACTTCTTGATCGTGATGAGAAAAAGTGGATTTATTATTATTCTGCTAAGCAGAGTGGTTAAATATGGAAGCAGTATCTTTCAGAAGCTAGTTAATGGCTACAAAAGACTGATACTAGTTGCTAAGAAGCATGTGAGCAAATTTTAGTTGACGTGTACATATGAGTTTTATCCTGTGCAAATCAATGTAAAATAAAACAAAACATGTTTTATTAGCTCATTGCATGTGAATGTAGTAAAATGATGCCATCAAGGAAAAATTTGTTTTATTATATAAACCTTTGAAAACCAGAAAAAGGAAAGCACCTTGATATTAATCAAAAAAGGCTGGTCTTTAATGTTTTTTTCTTTCCAACACCAAAACAAGAGGCATTAAATAACTCTTCTGGCTGCTCTGAATGTAAACAAAGTTGTATGGCAGTGTAATTGTATATGTTTCGCTTGAAATGTCCATTAGAAAGAACATTTTTAGGAACAATACTAATACATATTTGAGCTTGGAGACTTGTGTTATCAATCTTATGTTATCAACATGTTGTCATAGAAACAGCTGTTGATGCATACTTTTTAGATAATGAAAACCATATCAAATGCAAAGGTCTAAAATAAAACTGTCTGTCCACTTTAGGTTCTTTAAAAAACCATGGAATCAATGCTGAAAAGGTAACTTCGAGACCATTTATAGTAATGTAGAGAATCATCTTAAAATGTCCACATTGCTGATCTGCCTGGTAACAGAGCAAAAAATGAAAAAAAAAAAAAAAAAAAATTATTAGAAATTGCTGGATATTGATACTCATCAGTTAAGGTTTTCCACTGGAATTCTACTGTGTGAAAAGGATGAATTTCACCAAAAAAAAAGAGAAAACAAAGGAAATGTAAAACAATATGCAGTGATGTTTTCCCCATTAAATGGAGAAGAAATAAAAAGCTTACCTTATTTTTTATTTTTTATTTTTTTTTTGCATTTGATCTGGTAGCTAATCTAAATTGTTATAACCAAAAGTAAACACTAAGGAGAGATATCTTTTCTGTGGGAAAGAAAGACTGCAGGAATTTATTTTTGTCCAGGTCTGACTCTCTTAATTTATCTACATAAACACATTTGCATAATGTCTGCCTTGTAGCTTGTTTGGCATATCTCTAAACAAGACTGAGCATCTGTCCCACACAGTCCTCCGTTTCTAACCAATCAGCTGGATAATCAGTGCAGACTCACAATCTATAAAGTGCAGATTGGGCTCTTTGCTGACTATGACAAGGATCCAGTAAACAAAGATAAAACACTGAGTATATCCAGTGATTGATTTTTATTTTATTTTTTTTAACAATCTGTTATTATTTTCAGGGTTTATGAGGGTTTTCACTATTAGATTTTTGTAACAGCTGCAGGAGAATTTGACTAAATATCATTATTTTTCATCAAAGCATTTCACTTTGCCTGTTTTCTGCCTAATCTCATCTCTCTGGTGCTGAGCATTATTCCTATGACCTTTTTTTAAAATGATGTAGAAGTGTCCATTGGTCCACGGATCAGATGTCACCTTTATGTTGGTTGTTTAGTAGAGATGGACAATATCAGAAGCACTGCTGCAGGATGATCCCATTTAGTTGCACAATATTATATTTGAATTTCCCTCACAATGCAAGCAACGGCCATTGTTGACAAAGATGACTGTCTACAGAGGTGGCCCATAATTACCTATCCATCCATGAGAAGACAAAGACTGAAACCAAAGCTTTCAATAAGTGCATGAAAATGGCTGCTGAAATGTATCTCTGAATACATAGATTCCATCTGACGAGACTGACACCAAGCACTGTGTAGTTACGAAGTCCGTCATCTGCACAACTATGGAGTGCTTGGTGTCAGTCTTTTCAATCTAGCCCTCCTCCCACACAAACTGATGTAGAAAAAAACACTTTCCACAGCAGTTACAGCTGTAACTCTGCTTTTCTAAAATAGTATTTCACTCACTTTTAAAAAATGTGTTTTCAATCTGAAGTTTTTGGCCACATATAGGATTTTGTTTATATCGCTAATCTTGAAAAAGGCTAATTTTGGTGTATTCTGGTCAGACCACCTTCCATGTTTCGTCTGCACTTAAGCAATCTGGGGCAATCTACAGAGCAGTGCTGTGGCTCAAGTACATTTTAAACCAGGCCACAAGGATTTATTAGTACTCTGCAAGCAGCTATTCGTATGACAGACATGAAAACATAAAGAACCAAAAATATTATAAAAAGTGGAGCCAATATGCTAATGTAGTTTTGTTTAGATCTACAGACACTGCTCCACAGTGCACCTGCTGGTCAAAATTCACTCGGCGCTCCATTAATAATTTATTTAGTTCTGTTAATAAGCACTTGCAGTTACTCCAAATTTTACAAAAAGATTCTAAAAATAAACAAATATTGATCAATTATGGGTAGTATTCTGTGTTTCCATGGACTTCATGATGCTGTTGGTTTGTTTAATGTTCTCCAACAAACATCAGAGACCTTCACAGAATATTTGATAGACTTATGCTAGGATGAATTTAAACACATGATATATTTTGTAATAAGGTGACTTTTGAAGGCGTTTTATCCTCATAATTTATTTTGTGATGAAATCCTGAAATGGGTTAAAAAATGTTTTCATTTTTTTAAATTATTTTTAAATGAGAACCATTGTTTATATCCCTAAAAATGTGTTTATCTGTCACAAAAACTGATTAAAATGAAATTGTTTTTTGTCATGCACTTAATTACATGACAAAATGTTGCGACAAATTGTTTGTGATTGTAAAACATCTGTGTTAACCTCTTTGGGCAAAGATGATATTTGTCTTTAAAAGCAGATCATAATTTTAGTTAGAAATCATTTACAGCTAAAAGCAAGAAAGCCAAGGTGGAGTTTTCAATTTATCCCAAAGTATCATTATTTTACAAGTGACTTTCAATCACCTTAGTCTATAATTTGATATTTACTTTCTATTTACCTTTAAATTATTTGTTATGAATTTTTGTAGCGTAATCAGCCTATTCTTCAGTATGAATACCAGTTTGTTTTGTATTGCCCAGATAAGGCAGAATATTTTTGCATTAATTGTCTTCCTTATAGTAAATAAAAAACAAAACCCCTAGATCTCTGCCAAATAGATATGATGTGATTACATGTGCAGAAGCATATGTAGTCTAGAAGATAGGTAGTTAACTCAGGTGAGTCAAAATCAATGTGTGTGAGACAGGACATACAGAATAGATGTTACCTGGAGCAATAATATAGCAATTAGCATTTCTCATTTATTTATTTCATTTCTTTAACCGGGAGCCATACAGGCTCGACTTCTCTGCACCAGTCTGCACCTTTAAAAACATATTTCAAAAAGATTGATCTGTCTATTTACACTCTCATCAATAAGAGGGTCAAATTTTAGTAGGTAATGAGAAAAGAGTGAAACAGAACATGTAAAATTGCAGCCATTTAGAGGATTATATTGATCTCAAAAACCAGGGACCTCCTACTTAACATAATAAAGGGAAGATGCCCCACTTAAGATTTTATAAGTGATATTATCATTTTCTGCCATAGCCACAAAATAGGATTTTATCCAAGCTGTGGTTCTGTGGGTTCAGGTAATGGAGGCAAGGATGATTAATTGGATGCAATAATGCAAGATGAATCAGGACTTCCAGTTAGTTGGCAAGAAATACTAATTTATCCACTGCAGTTTCTCTGTGATTATTCATTCACTCAACACTCATTAGATTGCATGAAAAAATACCAAGTGTGCTCATTTTACAAAAAAATATAAACCAGGTAAATTTTGAGCTCTTTTC